ACGATTTCTCGACAATCTGGCGCAGGGCAAATATATGGTCAGAGGTGCTTCGACCGGGCCGGAAGCCACATTACCGTTATTGTTGAGATTTAATATGACCTTTTTTCCTTTAGTCTCTCAGTTTAAAATTTAACGTATATACTGAAGTTAATTTCGTTTAGGAACAGTCAGCTCGTTTCTACTCACTGCTGAACTCGACCGGTCGAATCTACCGCAGCATGAGCGACTGGCAGCTTCTGCCGGTTGGCGTTCGGTATCTTCTCTCCCCACTGATACCGACCTATGCCTCTCAATGGTCAATGAGACCAGGCCCTCGTATCAGATGAAGACCGCGGGTAAACAACCACTTTCTCCTAATCACCTGCTTTCCCTCGTTAATGATCCAAATATAACCCGTAGTGTTACTTCCGCTTCATATAGTAAGCTTGTCGACCACTTTGGCGATGCTAGGCCTAACAGGTAAGACTGAACGAACTTAAAAATGCTTGCTTCATTTACTTGATTCTTTTCAGTTGCTCTCTTTCGCCGTCCGGCGTAGAGTTCAATGCGGATGAGCTGTTGAGCGAACTAAGTTTGAACGCCGCAGCGTCTTCGCCTACTTCATCATGGAACAGGACGAAAAGCAACGCTTCTACTAGTCCATCGTTGTACAGTCCTCATAGCGTTTCTGCTGCTGCGAAGAGCGAACGTGAAGCTGAACTAAATTCCCTCACTATCAGCATGATAAAGAATATGGAGGCCGGTGTTTCACCGCTACACGGTACGTTATGAATATTGTAACATTTTAAACTTACAAAATTAAGAGCCTGCATATGTTTATGATAATCGATTTAGGTTGTGATAATTTGCACAGACGGCATTCTCGCACATTAGTATTCAAAACCAATAATGTTTATGGTAATTGAGTTGTATATTTATTTGTTGGCCATCACGAAGCAGACGATTCAATCATCTTAATCGAGAACAATGGAGTCATAGAACTGATAATACGGTCTGTGTCTCATATACCATGCCAGGTGATGTGTGTTCTGGCTGTTCAAAGTGGTCTCACTTTCAGCTAATTTTTTCCGTGCAACTTAAATGGCGAGATCTGAAAGTTTTGTTTTCTGTCTTCATAATCTTCCTAATACTTGCTGAATAAGAGTTTCTTCAAGATTTTGCCATGAAATTTTATCTCCAACAATCGAGTCC